CCTTTGCCTTTGCCTCTGTGTCTGTGTCTGTCATAAAAAAAAAGAATGACAGGAAACCGGATGTGAGTGCATGCCTTTTGTGCATGAAACGAATTATTCAGTTGACACACAGGATGTGTGCTTTGCTGCTCGTGCTTTATTTTTGTTTGTTTCTGTTCTTGCTGCTGACTCTGGTTGCCGCTTGCTCTCTGAGGAGCTGCAGCGCCCGGATTCGTGAACTGTTTTTTCTGCCCCTTTTCCCCTTCACACCCCACACAAATTTAGCTTGTAGCGGTTAATTTTGTAACAATGCAATTCGTGACCAACCAAAAGGTGACATACTTTTTGTATGTCTTTACCCACAAATTGTAAAAAGAAAATGGATTTAACTTAAATTGTTGATATGAATATGATAACGTTTGATTTAAATATATTTATTATTATAACATTTTAAATATATTTTAAATAAAAATACAAATATTTAAGACTAAAATGAATATATTTTAGATCAATATAAATATATTTCACAACTAAATGTAATATTTGCATATTTATTATCAAAAAATCCCTCTAACTCACTCTAACTAACTCTAACTTCTAACCCTCGAATTAACTTATTAAACTAGCTAAGATTTAACATTTTCCATATTTGCCGAATATTTAATTTAAATATGGATGAATATTTTTTTGCTATTCCATTTTCTCGAAGTGTTCAATGCATACGATTTTTAGATTAACCATTGCTCAATTTTTCTCTTTTTAAACATATTCTGCTGTTGCCGTTGCCATTGCCGATTATGATTATTGTTATTACACTTATTCCACAAATTTTCTTACAAAATGTACTCAATTTTATTTTTATGTAGACCATAGCTCATAAATAATGAACGTAAGAAGAAGCATGAAACAGGACGAACAGGCTGCTGCTGCTGAGATGATGGGTGGATTCGATGAAAAGGAACGCGAATGGTGGGGGGAGCGGTGTCTGAGTATCCAGAAAGTGTGTGCTTACTAAATTCTTATTGCTTTCAAGTGTCACGTATCATTATCATAATTTTTTCGCCCTGACATTTTTAAGTAGCTGCCATTAATTTTTATAACTTTTACGGACAGAGAGAGCAACACGGCCCTCTTAACATTATTGGACCCCGGGGAGCGAGGGTTGGCAAGCTTGGCAGCTCTGTTCCTGTCTCTGTTGGCTGTCACATACTTAAACACCTTAGCTCTTACCTTGACATTCATATTCATAATTTATGGCTGCATTTGTTGGGCCCCCAAAAAAAGGAGCAAAAAATAGGTCTTACGGGTTGCATGTTACTTGCCGGCAGGAAGACTTTTTTTTGTTAACTTGCAATTAATGGTTAAAATATGTTTAATAACAGAATGCTGAGAGCCAAAAATGATACTAAATAATTTGCTTAAAGTAATTTCAGTTTCCTTTCAGGGAAAAATAATGGAGTGGAAGTATAATGTCGATTTAAGAAAATGAAACAATTAAAGATTTGGCAGAGTTTTTAATGCAATTTTGTTTAACTAGCTCGAGTCTGAGTAATCCATAAATTCACGATTCTTAAATGAAAGGGAAATTCGAGATTCTATCCTGACTACTTGGTACAGAAAACAACTTAAATCAATTTAAAACTGAATGGAATAATTTCCCACATATCAGAAATTTGTATCTACATATGTAAGTATCTAGGTAGCCCACGCTTGCCGTTTAATGTCGAAATAATTATATTTCAACATTCCCCGCAAATTTCAATAACAAGAGGCACACCATTTAATAGGTGTACTGGGAAACTGGCAGTCAATAAGCAAGCAATAGAGTAATAAAGTCCCTTAGAGTATTTATTTTTAACGAATTGAATGGAAAACTTTGTAAAAATTACTGTGGGGTAAAGACAGAAATGACGATGCCTTGAATATGCCTTGAAGATGCCTTGATGATGATGATGTTTGATAAACTTGCCCCTCCACAAACATTAAAAACTAATCAAACTTTTAAATACACTTCTACCGCAGTAGCAGCAGCAGCAGTAGCAGACTTAAGATTGAGATATAGCTAGGGTCGGTGGGTGGTCTGGAGGGAGTTCGTAACGCGCCGACACCCTGAACAATTCGACAGGCGTCTTAAGAAGCATCTCCCCTCGACATCGACTTTTATTTGTTGCCTCCTCTCTCTCATGCTGTGTGGCGGGGCTCTCCTTTCGTTTCGTCTTCGTATCTGTGTCTGCCTTTCTCTCTCGTTTTTTCGGCTTAACTTTAGCCGGACTTTTGCCTTGTTGTCAACGTCAACAGAAATTGATTGCTCACCAAGAATCTCAGCCACAGTCAGTCCCATCCCCCTTGGTCTTACTTTTTATACCATATTGGACTCTGCCTCTGTGGCGTTTTCATTTCATTCAGAGTTGAGTTTACTTTGACCAAAAAGTTATTCCCCCAGCAAGAAGAGAGAGAGAGCGCGCTTCTGAGTCTCAGAATTTCAGTATCTTCGTCTCTCATTCTTCAGTGAATTATCCTTAGACAGCGGACCATGGAAGCGCCTACTCCCCGGGACCTAAACTTTCACACAGTTTAGAAGCCAAAAGTTTAATGGAATTTGTCTATGCCATCGCCTTCCGGCCAACCCTCGCTCACTCCCCCTCTCCCTTCCATCTACCACTATGGCCACCAATATAAATAAAACGGCATTCAACTTGTTTTTAAAGCAATTAAAAATGCTTTAAGACTGCGCAAAGACCTGCCACCGCCACCAGCTTCCCGGCCTCTGCAACATGCTCCGCCTCTATGCCACTGGTAGAACGTAACACATGCGATCGCTGGGGGGTTTGAGGGTCGACTCGACTCAACTCGACTCTGGAACTGCAATTTTCATTTTGCGCTGTAAACACAAGTGAAGTTTTTAATTTTAAAATGACCTACACTTATTCTTGGGTCTTAATTCTTTTACTTTAGGGAATTTTTCGTGGTAAAAGAAAGGGCTATGATGGCCAAATTAAGGTAAGAGTGTAGCTCAGAATCAGTCAGAGAAACCGATATAAAACGGAAGACATGGACAGAAGATGGAAAATGGATATATGAAAGAGACAATTGTAGTGTATGAGCATATATGGCAGTAATTGAAGATATTTTCTGGACAAAATTAAGAGCTAAGAAGCGTAGTACAGAGTGCCATCAAATGACATATTCGACTATGTTCATGGAGCATAATCTTTTTTATATATGACATTAGCAGCCGGCGTTTGTTTACCCTTTCTGCGAGTTAAGTGACAAATTCAACACCCCCTCGCCAACCAAGGTTTTACACAGTTACATATGCCATGTGTGTATGTTTCGTGTATGTGTTTTTGAGGTAAATTAAATTAAAATGTGGGAATAATATTTGCGCCTTGTTAGTGTTTGTCGACGCTTGGCTGACTCTGAAAGATTCACAGATGACGACGATGACGAATGCTGCACGATGGGAACGTTGAGTGGGTAAGCAGGAGCAGAAGGAGGGGCGAACGGGGTTGCTAAAAATGTTTTGCATTTAATGACATTTAACAGGCGACGACGACCACGACCGACTCATAATTAAAATTCAAAATAATTATTTTAGAAAAGCTGGAAAAATCACATATAAAAAGCATTTTCTGGTCTTACTTTTTTTTTTTTTGCTTTTGAGTAAAGTGGCCGCGCAAGGCCAAAATCGTCTTGCCACCGGAAACACCCACTCCCCACCTCAACTGTCAGATTCAGATAAGCTATATTTATGTGGGATTCTTTTAGCCAAATCCAAGTTAATTCGTTTCCAAATTCGTTTTACGAAAAGGAATTTATCGATTTAATCTGAAGAAACGTGCAGAAAGTAGTTAAGACCACAGTTTCTCTCGGAAATCTATTTTCATCGCCGCAACCTCCCCCTGTCTGTCACACTCTTTAAGCAAGTATTTCTGTACTGTATGTAAATGTACATACACAAGAAGAAACTATAGTTTCTTGATGTACATACATATGTGTATATCTTTCTCTCTCTGTGTGTTTGTGTTCCACGAACAGTTGATAATGGTGCTAAGTATTTTGGCTCTCTGCATGTGTGTGAATGTGTGGCTCTGCGTGGGTATTTTATGTCTCCCAGTCGGACCTTGTGGAAATGATTGCGAAAAAGAAGCGTTATTTTTTACCTCCCTGGTAGACTTTGTAGCACCGATTCCCCAAAAGAAGCGTTCTTTCATGCATCTTCTTCCACCAAGAAAGAGTAAATGTACCCAAAACAGCTTACCGTTTTGGTTTTTTCCGTAGGCCAACATATATACCTCTTACTTTTGGAAGGTTTCAAGCTTTTCACGAAGTGGAAATTACCACAACCACCAGTTCTACATGCGTTTAAAAAGAACCGTTCCTACCTAGAACATAAAGGTAACCCTGGAAATTTTAAGTGAAAACGACAACAAAGTCCGACTGGGCTTCTCTGCTTCTGTGCAGGGAGGGGAGAACAATAAACAAGCCGCATTGTTCATACACCAGTTTGCACAGTCAGCCGTTGGCTCATACACACACTCACACACATACAATAATCTCTTTTTTTTCCATGGATACGCCATGGTGGGTGAAAATCTTAGAGAGACACGACTGGCCCGTACCAGTCAGCGAACTGGATCCGAGTCCGTCATGTAGGCCATAAGCTCCTCGGGTGGCGGAACGAACTCAGTTATGGAGCAGTACCTTGTGCAATGATGAAACACATGCACTGGATCCTCGCTCGCATTTATGTTATTTATTTTATACATATTTGTGTTTTATAAAAAGTAAAAAGTATTTGGCAATGCGCATCTACGACTGCAGCTAACCCTGAAACATTTTTCCTTGAGCATCGCTACCGCATCAGCCATTAAAGAAGATCGGCATCCAGTGAGACTCTGTGTCATACTTTTTGCTGGCCGTATATTCCTTGATCCGATTTAAAGAATGCCTTGAGCGAAATGTCTATAGTACTATAAATAAGCTAATCCATAATTTAGTCTTTCAAATCTTCCACATAAAATACTCAAACAGCACACAGTTTCTACAATTATTCGTGCAAAATGAATGATCAAAAGTGGCCGCACGAAGCGGCCGCTCAGCGAAAAGTACGGGGACAGTCGATGCTGCGTAGCCAAATCGATACCAAAATGAATCCCGAATACTCGGATCAAATGGTCTTGAATAATCGCACGCCCACATCGATAATGAGTCGCAAAGCCACAACTCTGGTGTTGCCAGACTTTTCACGCTTCACGCTGGCCAATATAGCATCACTGCCATCGCACAGTACCAACGATACAGTGACGACAAAGTCACATGCCTTGGACCAGCTGAGATCACCGATTTGCAAGTACACAGATCGTGTGGTGGATGAGATTCTAGTGCAGATTTTCGTGGAGCGACGAGGTGACTTCTCCATGACATCCTCCTGCTGTGAAAAGACAGTTGTCAAGTGGGTAAAATCCAAGAAGGACCTGCATGTCGACAAGCGTCTCAAGTACTGGCGGGAAATGATGCAGCGGCGCCGCAAGCTGCAGCTTCGTGTGCAGAAAGTAACGGGCAAGAATGCCGCTGAGGTGCTCTTTAATCGACGCACTACCCTGGAGAACCGTAACGAGCAGATGGTGAAGCGTCTGCTGGAGTATGCGGAGCGCATGCGGTGCGATCGGCTGATGGCCATGCCCGTGTCCACGCTGCGCGAGTTCCAGGATCCCTGTACATGTCAGATTATTCAGGAGCTGCCAGAAACGCTGCCCAAAGCGGAACGCGTTGGTTATAAGGATGTGGAGATCATTGGGGTGCCAAATGTGATCAAACGAGAGCTCCTAGGCAGAGAGGCAGTTGGACAGGAGCTTCGACATGCCTGGCTAAAGTCCAGCATCTTGGATAAGCATCTCGAGCGCCGGTTCTGTGACATTCACAACGTGCTGGACTTTTTTCCCGATCTCGACGACCTTCAAGTTTCAGGCATCAGTGTTGAGCGGCTCCGGGGTGGGCCCAATACCACCTTTGTGGATGCCCCATCCCTAAAGAACATCACGAAAAGCTCCTCGTTGCCTTTTGCGGAGGAGTGCGAATGCGAGGAGGATATCGAGGAGGATCCAATGCCAACCATAGGACAGCCTGAAGTGGCGCAGGTAGGGCTGCGTATCAATAGCAATGACTACATCCCAGCTGGCGCTGGCGCTGCTGAAGGCCTCAACGAATGCTACGAGCTGCTGACAAAGTTCTCCTGTGATCCCTTCGAGCGCAGTGGCAAGCACATCCTGCGGTTGACAAACATTGGCCAGCAGACGCTGTCCTTCACGTGGAAGCAGGGCGTCTACTACTACAATCGTGGCTCCCTGCTGCTGGCCAAGGACAATGAGTTCCTTTTTGACATTGAGAACTTTCGTCTGACGCATGGGGAGACCCGCGATCTGGTCGTCGTGTATCAGCCACGAAAGGTGGGCGTGGCCGTGGAGCTGTGGTTCCTCACAGTGGAGCCCCGAGTCTTTTGCAGCGGCAAGGAGTCGCTGATGATTCGCCTGCACGGTTGCTGTACGCCCCCCAAGGAGTACAGGGCCAAACTGAGGGAGCTCCACTGTGTGGCCATATGTAAGGGAAACACCGAAGAAGTGTTTCAATTGACCACAAGACTTGGCACTATGTCGCCCCTGATTGTGCCACAGCCCGCCTGTTGCCCGCCCTACGATCGCACATTGGATGAGCGAGAGATCTTTAATGCGTCGAATCCCGGCCATTTTTGCTTTCGGTTCGATGATCTGGAGGTGCTTAAGGTTCTGCACAAGCAACTGAAGAAGCCACGCGAACGTAAATGGGATCTGCATCTGGACACCATCAAGGAGTACATTATGCGCATCGAATCGTTTGATAATCGCGAGAGGATTTTTGAAATGTACACAGGGATTCTCATCAATATGCTGAAGCCATCATGCAGCCTGGACACCGTCGAACAGCTGGACACGCAGAAGCAACGCACGCGATTCATCTATGTGCGTGGTGTCATCTGCAATGGCATTGAGGAGTGGCAGGATCTCATATGCACCCTCGAGGACTCGTTCTTTAAGCCAGAGCTGCAGCGTTACTACATCAGCCTCATGCAAAAGGTCGAGGAGGAGGAGAACGGTGTCGAGGTGGTAGCTCAAGGGAATCGGAGCACATTGACATTCACACCGGCCGATCTGGAGAAACTGATCGAAATCTATGCCGCAGAAGATGTCGATCTCCCGAAAGAAGAGATCAAATCCGTTGTTATGTCGAAACTCTATCATTCGAAATACTTTCGGGATGCTCTGTTTATACAGACCTACTCCCATTTGTGCAATATAGCTGAGTATATTGTATCGGTCATAGAGAGCACAGATATTGTGCCAATATAGTTAGTTTTCGCTTGTTTTTCTTACGTTGATTCCTTAATTGAAAATCGTTTGCATACCCAACGAGAAGAGGTTTTAAAACTAAAAACGAGGAGAAAAGTTTGTAAGACGAGTCGTACGCGTCACAACTTTTAAACCGGTACTCAGTCAGTATATATGTATGCATGTACATATTTTCATTCGTATGCATGTACATGTGATACATGCATACATATGCACATGTGTTCACTTATGATTTTTTCAAATGTCATACTTTTAATTTTGTTTACATCTGCGATCAAGGCAGAGTGTGAGAGCGAGATAGTATGAGCAACAAAAATAAACAAAGCTGCTGGAAGGGGTGGGGGTAAGCTATATGTATGTCTAAAATAATGATCCAATCTGATCCACATTCGCTGATTTGATAAATAAAGCACTCCTCTACGGAACTACGTTTTTAGTTTACTCTTGTCTTCAAAATTGTGGATGTCGCTGTGTTTGAAGCTGCGGAGCTTTTTTGGCAACCCTGACTCCACATTTACGATAATTATTCTCCGTATTTGGGAGAGACGCGTATCTCGGAAAGTAAAAATTAGCTTATTTCGTGAAATTGAGCCGAAACTCGCTTATAATAAGCAATAATACGATCACCCGTGGTTACCCCACAACCTGATAAAGACGGCGGGACAAAAGTGGCAGTAGGTTCGTAGTTTTTTCGGATAACCTTGCCTCGCCGCAATGGCGGCCCAGCAAAGACAGTAACACGGAAGCTGGTGCTGGTGGAGACTCGAAAAAGAGGGAAGGAGACGCCAGACCTGTTTTTGCGGCAGGCGTAAAAATGGCGGAAAAAACAACAGCTACGACGACAAAAACCCCCCTCATGAAAGAGAAAGAGACGAGAAACAAAACTACCAAAACAATTACTAGTGAGAAAGAGATGGCGGATGTGGATGTTTGTCAGACGTCCGTGGGTACAAGATCAACAACAACAACTAACAACAGCAAAAACAACAACAACAACAAATAATAAGAGGGCCACAAAGACCCTTTTGAAGTGTACATAGACAAATTAAGCGATAATAATTCCAGGATTTCAATTAACCAGTTCGAGCTATCCGAACTGTTTCAAAAACTGGGACTTGGCGGTATAGAGGAGGTCGCGAGGATAGGCTATGGCAGGTGCAAGATTGTATGTAGGTCGGCCGACGGTGCAAACAAGCTTGTGGAAAACAGTGCCTACGCCGCCCACGGCTACTCTCCCCGAATTTAGCGGCACTTTGTGCAAAAGGCGGGCCTAATCTTTGGGATCTCTGGCCACCACTCGGAGGAGCAGCTCTCGGAGCTGATCATCTCGGACGTCCTCATAGAGGGAATACAACGTATTTCCAGAACAGACAGAACCTCGGCGGATAGGTTACCCACCGGCAGGGTCAAACTCTGGTTTAGAGGGAAGCAGCTGCCCAAGGAAATCAATTTCCTGTACACCAAGGTAGCAGTGAAACCTTTCGTCCAGTTTCGCCAATGCTTCAGGTGCTTTACGTTCGGCCATATGGCGCAGCACTGCAAGAGCCTGGCGAGATGTTTCAAATGTGGTCGGGACCACAGCAGCGACACGCTATGCTCGGGATTAAGCTGTGCAAGGGTAACCACGCGGCTACGCACCCGCAATGCGAGCCAAAGAGATGCAAAGCCAAAAGAGTGGCAGCCAGAAATTTGGAGTCGGCTAAGGCAGCTGCCAACATGGCAGAATGGAGGAACGCGATCAACGCAGATAGCCCTCAATTGAGTGAGAAATTTGTGAGAACAACGCCCGTGGTTTCATCTGTGGCCCAGGAAAAGCTTAACACACTGGGATCCATGCTTACAGCGTTCTTGGTGGAACCCATCAATATTTCCAAGGGGGGATTGGTGCAGAAGTTTTTTCAACAGATCTTGGAATATTTTAACACCTCCAATGCTGAACTCGACCGTTTGCAAATTGTTCAAGGGGTGGAAGCGGGATACCCAAACAAAAAACAATTAAGATTCTTCAACTAAAAATTCAAAGTCTGACTTACAACAACTAACAGCTCCTCAAAATTTTTCTAATAAACAACGAATTGACATTGCAATCCTTTCGGAGATCTGGGTTGTAAATAATGAGGACTGCAGTATCTTAGATTACAACTTCATCGGCAAGCCCAAAGAAGACGGCTACGGCGGAGTAGGAATCTATATTAGAAAGAAAATTAGATTTAGCATTCTGAAAATAGACTGTGATCTAGAGATCGTAGGTATTAAGACCCTGAACCTCAAAAACAACCTCAACATATTCAGCGCATACGCTGCGCCTTCAATGACACTTTCCCAATTCAAATCGGGCATTAAAAAGGTGTTCGAGCTTGCGGAGTCCCTAGACTACCCTTCAGTCGTAGGAGGAGATTTCAATGCCAAGTCTTCCATCTGGAGAAACCCTTCCAGTGACCGCAAGGGCCGCATCATCGAGAATGCTACTTGTGAGGAGGGATTTATCTGTCTTAACGACGGATCTCCAACTTTCTCCAGGAACCCTTCCCAATTCTCTGTTCTTGACCTCACCTTTTCCAATCACAAGAACGGTAGAATTGACTGGCAAGCCCTTAAATCCAAAATAACCAACAGCAACCACTTCCCAATCGTCATAACAGTCGAAGGTTTAGATGCCTCCATTCAAGAGAAGAAAGTGCTGCACAATAGAATAAATCGTATTTTAGGAGTAAGCAGTTTTACCAATCTACAAGAGCTCAACGATAAGGTCAAATCCCTGACCAGTAAAAACACAGTTACCATTCCCAGCAACAACAAGTATATTGCAAAAAAATGGTGGAACGAGGGTATAGAGAGACTGTTTCGCGTGAGAAATGCGTGCAGGCAAAAATACTATTACACCAAAAAATTTGATGATGCCAGGGCCACTATAGAGGCCGACCGCAACCTGCAAAATGAGATTAATTGCAGAAGGTCAAACTTCTCAAAGTTCATAGAAGAGGTTTCCCCTTCGCCCTCCATGTGGAGCAGAGTAAAGAACCTAAAGAAATACGGAAAAGTCAAAAACGTAGGGAACACATGGACAGACGAAAACGACAATGGCTTTCTAAAGACATAAAGACATGGTCAAAGACATCCCCTCCACTGCAAGCAGTAGACCCCCAGAGAACATTCCACCTCTGATTGGACCAGGCGACCCCGAACCTTTTCAGGATGCTGCAGCAACTTCCTGTTTGGAAAAAAACATAACATCTTTGAAATTATAAACAGGGTATGGCTCAGTGGCATCATACCAGAGGTCTTTCGTAGAATCAAGGTAGTACCAATCCCCAAGAAGAATGCGGACCCCGCTTCCTTCCAAAACTACAGACCTATTTGCCTAATAAACACCTTGTTTAAGTATATAGAGGTGTTGATAAAGTTAAACATATTTCAAGCATGAGCTTTTGCCGGTCAGATCCTACGCCTTCAGGAGGAACAGGTCCACGGCGCTCTGCATCAACGACCTGATCAACGAGGTCCTGGCTCTGAAGGCGAGAGGGAATCAGGTCGTGGCGGCCTGTCTTGACATACAAAGGGCATTTGACTGCGTAAGAGTCGACACGCTAGAGCAGAAGATGAATGTCATGCAGTTCGACCCGAATCACACTGCCTGGATTGCCAGCTTCCTGAGCAAGCGTCTACTCATCAAGGGCAAGAGTGAGGTTGAGGTGAACAGGGGAGTTAGTCAGGGCAGCTGTCTCAGTCCAACTCTGTTCAACTTGTACACCGCAGAACTGCACGAGATAAACGATGGCAATTGCTTACTATCTCAGTATGCGGACGACTTCTTTATTATTTGCTTCCACAAGGAGATTTCCATTGCCAAACGTATGCTCCTAGAACAAATAGACAGCTTTGAGGCAAGATGCAACAGGCTTAACCTTGCTTTCAACCCAGCCAAATCCAAAGTGGTTCACTTCAGCATCCGAAGAACCGAGCTGAACATTGAGCACCAATAAGTCGAGATTAGGCAAGTAGATCAGATAAAATATCTAGGCAGAACAATTTCAGCGAACAACTCAGCCTCAGTGCACATCGAGCAGGCCATTTCGGAGTCAAACAGAACCTGTGCGTTCCTAAGACTACTCAGTGGGTGCCATTACGGTATCAGCCCAAAGAGAGGGCACATAGTTTACAAGGCCTTTGTCAGAAGTAGACTAGAATACGCTTGCTCATCTTTCAGCAACTTGTCCAAATCCGCTCTAGCCAAAATCAAATCTCATTGTAACCACCACCTTAGAAAGTCACTAGGCTTAATCATTTGCAGCCCAATCCCGATTATATACCACATGGCAGGAGAACTTCCCCCGGAATACAGAATGAGATTCCTAGCGGCAAAAGAGTTAGCCATAGCATTTGTGTACAGTCTCCCAGCGAGTAGGACAGTGTCCCTAAACACGGGCTAGGCCAAGGCATTTCGGGAGTTCGGTGATATTCTGGAGACGAGGTCTTTGAGAGTACAACTTCGCATTGCACCAAACCGCACAAAACCTTGTCATCTCTGTCCGCCGAGTTGCTTGCAATTGAAAAGGCCTTCGACCATGCTATTTCCCGGGGGTCTTTTCGTATCGCCATCCTAACGGACAGCAGAAACGGGGCTCTAATACTGGCAAGGAGCATTCAGGATCATTTTATCGCTTATAAAATCAGGGAGAAGATCCGTCAAGCCCAATACCTAAAGAAGGTAGAAATCCATTTTATACCCGGCCACGCCAACATCCCTCGGAACACGGCAGACTCAGCAGCCAAAGAAGCACACAGACTGGGAAAATATACAGTCGTTAAATGGAATCTTAAAGATGCAATATGTGAGATACACCGAATACTGAAAGAAGAATGGGAGAGAGAGTATGCCAGCGTTAAACGCAGAGGATACTGCTCACTTTTTCCCTCTACCTCAACAAAACCATGGTTCCTAAATAGAAATAAGGTAAAAGCCATTGACGCTAAAAAGATCAATAGACTGCTTATCGGCAGTGCATTTGATAGGCACACACTTGCCAAAATGCACGTAGTCGCAAGTAACATTTGTGATACTTGCGATACTATCGATGACGCATCGCATATAATTTTTAATTGTACCAAGTACAACACAACAAGACTAAACCACCCATCGCTAAGGAAATATAATAATATCTATAAATTCTTCGAAAAAGAACAAATTAGCTCGTACCAAACTTTAATCGAGTTCATCGATAAAATTTGCGTAAAATTGTAACAAGTTACATATCTCGACGTGGCGATTTCCACCTTGTAAAGGCGGGCGGCCAAATAATCCCCCTCTACCCAAGGGTACAGCGGTAACATAAAACCTAAAACAAAAAATATATATATATATATTCTCCGTATTTAGTTTTTATTATTTTTGTTTACTATTCGAAGATTGAATACGATTTGAAGGGGTGTGGCCGTGAACTACGATTCGGTGTGTTACAATGTACAATGATTAAGAGCTCGATTAAAGTAACGGGTTTGCGTTGGACATAGAAAACAAAGAATTAATTGGACTGCTCGGAGATGCGCAGCGATCGACAATATTTTAGACTGCGAAGAAAAGGTCAAAGCACTGCAAAATAAACAGTACGAAGCGTGCATACATATGCGTGCGCTTCTATGCACTGTGAGAGGGAGCGATGAGCGGGACAATAGCTAAATAATATAAAAGAGTACAAATGTAAACAAGGCGAGCGGATCTTTACAATTATATATTTGCTGCTGCTCCGAACATACACCCCCGTTGAAAGACCAGGGCTTTTAACAGGATCCTCAACGGGTAGGAGGCACATCTTGTTGACAGCTCGACGAGTGGTTCCGGATGGTGTCCGCAGGACTTCAACTCGCACAGTCCCATCGCCTCCAGCTATGACCTCGATCACCCTGGCCAAAGGCCACTTCAACGGCGGCAGGTTCTTATCCTTGATGCAGACGACGTCGTTGACTTGAATCGAAGGCTGCGATGTGCGCCATTTGGCACGTTGTTGGAGCAGAGTCAAGTTCTCCTCACTCCAACGCTTCCAAAAGATTTACTGGGCACAATTGATTCGTTGCCAGCAATCCAATCTATTGATGTGTAGACCCGTTACGTCTGGCTTGGAAAACTCCATCAGCGGACGACCAATTAGAAAATGTCCTGGTGTGAGGACGCCAAGATCTTCAGGGTTTTCTGAAATAGCGATAAGAGGTCGAGAATTGATTACAGCCTGGATTTGGCAGACCAAGGTCCGCAGCTCATCAAAAGTAAAAAGGGAAGATCCCACGGAGCGATAGGTTAGGTTAGGCTGAGGCGTTCGTCGGGACTTCACAATCCCGACACACCTAGGCCGGTTTCGGCCCGTTGTGATTCCGCTTGGATCTTTTCCTCTTCTCCTCCCGTTTGTCAGGGTGTCAACAGTGCTCCCATCCAGATGCTCTCACAAAGTTTGCTATCTTCCTGGGGCCTATAGTAGCCATTTCTGAAATGTCGTTAAGAAAAGGTGAGCCCAGATATTTTAACCTCCTTCTACTGAGAGCCGGGCAGGAGCAGAACAGATGTTCTACTGTCTCCTGACAGAAGTCGTTGTAGGGGGCACCCAGCCTATTCGCATGGTTGCCTATTAGCCAGTGCCCTGTAAGAGAGCGAATGACTATGCTACACCTATGTCTGCTTAGTTTGCATAGTTCAGCGGTGCGTTTTTTCGAGATGTCTGGCTACGTTTGTCGGGTGATGCGACAGCCCGTGACCTTTTTCCAGCCTAGAAGGCCTAGAAGGGGGTGTCCTTAGTCCTATGAGGTATTATATTAGTGTCCCTAAAGATCGCTGAGTGACCATATGGTCGTGACGTCCATAGGTCCGAATCTCGCAGACGTATTGCTGCCCTTGTTGCCTGTTCCTTCCCTGCAAGGTCTATGCCCTGCAGGCATAGAATGGCATTTAGTGCGTCATTTGGTGTGGTGCGGAGAGCGCCACTGATGCAAAGAGTGGCCGTTCGTTGGACCTTTGCCAGTTGAGCGGTGATTGTCTTTTTTGACAGAGCCGGCCACCATACTGTGACTCCGTAGAGCAGTATTGGTTTGGCAACAGCTTGGTATATCCATTGGGCTATACGTGGGTTCATGCCCCATTTTAGTCCGATGGCTTTTTTGCAGATGGATAGGGCCTTATTTCCAATTTAACTTCCTGTCTATTACCAACCCAAGGTAACTGGCACTGTCGCTAAAGGTTAACGTACATTTGTTTAGTGTTGGGGGGTTGAGTGGCAGAGTTTTGTACTTGTTAGTGAATCGCAAAAGTTCCGTTTTCGAGGCATTTGCCTAATCCGCACGATCTTGTCCATTCTGACAATCGAGCTAGTTTTGTGGTCATAAAATTACATAGTGTTTGAGGGAATTTTCCCGTGAACATTAAGACAACGTCGTCTGCATATGCCACTACTTTGCAACCACCCCCCTCCAAGTCACATAGAATCTTATTGACTGCAATGCTCCATAGGAGGGTAGACAGGACACCTCCTTGCGGTGTGCCTCTGTTTACATACCTTGTCTGAGTGGACGAACCCATTGATGATGTCACCGTCCTGCATGTGAGCAATTGATCGATGAGCATCACCAAGTGGCAGTCCACCCCCAGGTCAGTCCTGGCAGCCGTAATGGCTCCTGGCTCGACGTTGAGGAAGTCCGCTAGGGAGTATTCCTTAAAGTATAGAGCCTTCTCTATACCTGAAATCACTTCATGTAGGGCCGTTTCCGTGGATTTACCTTTCCAGTATGCATGTCGTTAGTCTGACAACATCTGAGGGTTGATGATTGTCCTCAGATGTAGACCTTTCAAATGTTCTTAGGAGAAAGGAGGTCAGACTAATCGGTCTGAAGTCCTTTGCCGTCGTGTAGGAGGCTTTTCCCGCTTTGGGGATGAACACAATTTCTGCCTTGAGCCATGCTTTAGGAATCTTCCTACCTTTAGTATCTTTTTGAAGATACATTGTAGCCAGCGGATAGGTTGGTCCCCAGCTCTCTGAAGTTGAGCTGGGATCGCCTTGTCAGGACCTGGCGATTTGAACGGTTTGAAGCTGTTCACCGCCTAGCAAATGTTCCGTTTTGTGAGTAGGTGCGCCATCGATGTGGCTGGGCACGGTGAAGCACAGGGGCGATCCGGTGGTTCGGTGGTTGTGCACCCTGGAAAGTGGGTATCGAGTAGGATGTGTAGGGACTCCTTGCTGGAGTTAGTCCATGCACCATCTGTACTCTTGATGTATCCCACAGAGGTATTCGTTTTCGAGAGGATCTTGCGCAGCCTTGCGGCTTCTGCCGTTTCTTCGATTTCGGTACAGAATTTTTGCCAGGAGGCTCTTTTCGCTCTCCTAGTTTTTTGTAAAGGGCAAGGCTGGTGTTATAGCCTGCTCATAGATTAGCCTCGTTGCTGTTTTTGGCTCTATTAAAATTAGCTCTGCAGCTTTTACGTAGGACTTCAAAGGTCTTCGACCACCAGGGGGTTTCTTTTTCCCTCTTGGTTTGATGGGGGGACACGCGGCCTTAAAGGCTTTATTACATGCCTCCCTGAATCTATTTACAAGACTGTTAAGGTCGTCTTGTGTATCAGGGCATGTTGATGCTTTTGGGGGAAGAAGTTCTTCCAGGGTTTTAGAATATGCCTCACAGTTGGCTTTCCTTGGGTTTATATAACTATCAGCTATTGGGTATTCGAGAGATATTATCGTCTCTATGTACCTAAGGAGTGCTCTTCTAGTATGCTATGGGACACTAGGATGAGGTCTATGACCTCCTGTCGGTTCTTTATAATGAAGGTGAGGTCATTTCCCTGACTACAAAGAACAAGATTCGAGTTTAGGATGAAGCTGAAAAGTGACTCACCCCTTACATTTATGTCCAAACTTCCCCATTGGGTATGGTGGGCGTTGGCATCGCAACGTATCAGTAGGCCTGTGTTTGACCTCTCGCTGTCGCTGGTTATTTTGTTGACGAGGTCGCTGGGAGGGTCACATTGGTCGTGAGCCATATAGGAAAACACCACTCTGAGGTGTGCCCCTTGCAGCTCTAGGCTAGCTGCTGTGTTGTCGCCATCGCTAAAATTATGGAGCAGAAACATGTTTGCATGCTTTCTAGCTAAAATGCAGGTGCGAATTTTACCTTCCTTAGGTGCTAAAATCAGCTTGTAGTTCTTCGTCGCTAATCCACAGACCTTGTCTCCTACCACCCAAGGCTCCTGGATTAGGACTACGTCGCCTCCGCTCGATTCCAAACGGAATAGGAGGGCAGCAATTGCTGCATTACAGTGGTGGAGATTTATCTGAAGGAGACTCAGAGGGATCCTTTCCTATCTCCACCACTGTATTGTCGGCGTCCGACTCGCCGGAGCTTTCGTTTCGGCACATTGCGTCGAACTCCAGCATCAGCTCCGACTCTAGGGAGTCACCTTCTTGGGCCAACTCCAGCTCGTTGTCGGGTGCCTCGATCTCTGAGGCAACATCCTGCTCGACTGGGTTGTCGACAGGACGCACCCCGGCCGCTGCATCCGACTTGTCCACCTTTACGGTGACAGAGCTGAACCCAAAGTTGAGCTCATTTTTGGCTGCCTCTATCGGGGCCAGCGACTCTTTGTTGATAGCATAGCTTTTTAGACGAGAGATGCGGTGATTTCGTACGACTGTTGAACTTCTGAACGCATCCAAAAAAGCGCATCATGACTCCGAATGAGTTAATGTGCTCTAAAGAAAGCGAGATGTTGACACGCTCAGACGATAAACGACGAAAGAGTGGTGGCCGAGTACCCTCCACCACACGAGTGTTAGTAACGAAATGCTCCTCGCAATGATGCTCCTTCTTTGCAGCCCGAGCGATCGGTCCAAATGTCTGCTCCACTTCTCAAAATTGATGAATCAACTCATTGGGTTGTACTAAACGAACATGTGTTGTGGGCGAAATGCAAGCCCGAATGCAAGGCAGCCAAAGACTGTGCGGCGATAAACGACGATAGGTAGGGGGGCGATTGCCCGCCCGAATGATCGCAATATGATACGATGTTCCCGCAATCCGAAGATTGTGCTGCGAGAAACGACGAAAGCAGAAGCCCGCCACCAGATATGATCCATCCGAGATGTGTCTTCTGCAGTGACGGCAGTCCAGGCGCCAGCTGAATTTGTCCCACACACAGCAACTTGAAGAACAGTCCAGCTCCGATTAGCAGGTCAATCCGTAGCGGCTTATGGAACGAAGGGTCAGCAAGCTGGATATTCGATGGGATATTCCAATTAGCGGTGCTAATTGAGATGCTAGGTTGATGGTCCGTGATCCTCTGGGCAACGACGGAAGTGATGCTAGTGGTGAAGCGATTTGATCTTACGAAGTTTAGCTAGACGACTAGTTATGAAATGTAATTGCGATCCCGAGTCCAAAAGTGCGCGGCATGGCACGAAAGTTCCAACGCTGTTTTTTACGAGAACTACGACGGTGGCTAAAAGCACAGCATCAGAATGACTTTGGGATATTAGGACTTGAGGCAACGAGGACGACATGGCAACCATGGCGGTATGACTTGGATGTTGGATATTCATAGAAGCAAATTGTAGTGTAATCAGTTGGACGAATGAAATGCAAAAGCGTGTGGTGCTTCGATCGGCAAATGCGCAGGGACCGGATTTACAATCCTTCACATGATGGCCTTTTCGTAGGCAATTAAGGCATAATAAGAGCCGTTTTTCTTTCACTTGACGATCATTCGGCGACAGAGGTGTAAACCGTGGACAATTGGCAATTATATGGTTCGTGCCCTCGCATAACACACAAGAAATGGGGGCGCTCGATGCGACGAAAGATTTTCTTTGATGCATACTCACGGTTTTTCCGGACTTGCCAAACTGATCTTGCCCTTGCGTCGATTGATCCGCATTTTCAAGCGTCCGACATCTTTTTTCCAAAAATCCCGACAATTTTTCCCACGTCGGCAGCTCTGATTCGACGAAGTATCCTCCCATCTGCTCTGAGTGGCCTTGTCCAGCTTCTGAAGTATTGTTTGTACCAGAATACAGTCGGCTACTTCTTCCTTACTAGCCAGCGATTCTATTCCACGAATATTTGAGGTGACTCTGTCAGTCAGTTCCCTCAGCCTGCCCACCGATACGTCCGCCTTCTCCAACCCAAATATCCATCTGATGTGTGCCTGCAAAATAAAACATTTATTATTAAAGCGACGCTTTAAAATATCTAATGCCACGATATAATTGCCTCATTTATCTCCAATGAGCTGATGGTATTGAGGGCTGCGGCACTCAAACAGGAACGCAGATGCTGCAGGTTTCAATAAGGGTCAGCTCGGACTCCTTGTCAATGATCGCGGTGAACATTGAGAAGAAATTGGCCCACTCCGTGTAAATTCCAGTAAATTTTGCCAGCTCCAGCTGAGGTAACCGAGATCGATTGGCCTTAACGACGATTGATTGGGATGCACTTGAGTTGTGGTTGGGGACCGACATCCAAACTCGAGCTGAAGAATGGTCCGCAATGATAATACGGACGCGTCAAATCGTGCAGTTATTTCACTGAACCTGGACTCAAAATCCGCACTCCTCTCAGCTGGTGTGTGCCACAACAAAATTCGTACTCATCCATTTGGCACAGCTTCTCAATATCCATATCCGTGCGTATTGATTCTCGCCTATCGAAAATAGATCTAGTTTTCCACTTCAAAAATGTAATCTGGGACGAAATCTGGGAATTGTGTGCTGTGTTCGCACTAAAGCTTCCACCACTTGGAGCAGCGCCAAATGCCACCGACTCGCTATGTGTTTCACCAGCCTCATTTGCCATTGCAAACGATCCACTTTTTCAATTTTTTTTTCTATTTCCCATTTTTCGGTGCTAGATAGTTGACGCGGAGTGTATTGGTCACAGTTAAATACGAATTTTCAACAAGCGATACAAGTTCAAAAGTTTTTGTGTTCACTTTTGCGGCACTTTTTATTTGCGATGCTTATGCACCGGTAGAGCGATCGAGAGAGTGCACTGATTTCGAGTTCGAATTCGAGAGAGAGTTCTTCCAACCGGTCACGAGAGATGGCTGAAGCAAACGACGAAAGAGTAGACGAAACGAGAAGGGACGTGTGAGACACTTCTTACGAGTCACAACTTTTATACCCGGCACTCAGTACTACATCTGCACCTAAGCGGAAGAGGGATTTAGATTTCTATATCTTGTAGCTTTGTGAGGTTTATGTCCTTTTGCGGAAGGGCCGGGCTAATTTTTGAAATACACTGGTTTCAGTGCGAGCATACAGAAGACAGCATGCAACATTTGGTGGCTCTAGCTCTTATGGTCTTTGAGACATGCAGACATACGACATAGAGTCGGCTATTAATGCTGATCAAGAATATATATACTTCTGTGCGTTACAAACAACCGTTATTCGCACAAAGACAATATACCCTATTTACTCTTCGAGTACCGGGTATAAAAAGCTAGAAAGAGAAAGAGGAAAGCCATCTAGTGGTCATGATGGGGAATATCCATCAGGAGGCGCCGCCATCTGGGCTCCTGGCTTGGGGGTCAAGAGAAAGAGCAGATAATGGCATAAATCATTTAACAGCCTTAATTGTCAAGGAAGAATTTCACCTCTCGGAAATGCAGAGACGAATGAGCTAAAATTGTTAGATAAAAAGATAAAATATGCTCGTACAATTTTGGATAGATTTTTAGCAATACTTCATAAAGAAATAGTGGACACATGACTTCAACTTTTCCCGAGTTTTTGAAGTCAACATTTCGTAAAAAATACCTCGCAAAAATCAAAATGTTTTCATTTTAAGGGACAATTTTTTTTCAAATAATAAGCTAAGCCCCCAAAGTTTTTGGGTATATTATTTTATTATAGAAGATGCATTATAGATGCATTTATCAGATTTACAGAATGGCTAAGTTCATTACAACTAGATGTGCCACGCTAAAAAAACCGTTACAAAAAAATACTAGAGTTTAAAAATGCATTAAAAGAAAAATTGTTTTGCTATAGAAAAAAGCCATAAGTCTTAAAAAAAATGTAAAGTCAAAGCGGGGAAAAAGTTGGATTTTGTCGAGTAATGTTATACTTTGCCTTCGGCTAGCTGAATGATAGGAGATCGGGGAACTGAAGGGGTTATTCCGTAATGACTTGGTGGTCCTAAAATTACCATGGAAGGGTGAGTAGTTTTTCCCGCGATAACACCTGAGGCGGAGCAGCGTTCCAGAACGAGCCGGAAGAGAGAGAGAGAGTACATGTGTGTTCGTGTAATGTTCCCCTTTTATGTCTCGTCTATGTTATGCATTCTATGTTTTGCATTAATGCAATATTTACAATGCAGCAGTATCTCGCAAATTAGAAAAATTTTGTTAATGGGGTGATTTAATGTTTGGTAATTTTTTCACAGAATATGCTAAATAAACTATTAAAATTAGTCGTGCCGGCATATTTTAACGCACAAAAATTTGTTATATAAATATTTCATTAATTTAACTTAACAATTTAAAGAGTTTTACTCAACTCATAGAAAAACATTATACATTTTTTTCACATTTTTATTAATCTGTAATTTTACCTTCAGTCATCACCGTCACCGTCACCGGCCTCCCCACATTTTCAATGTGTTTGAGTTAACGGGAAACTGCAGAAGCTCCAGCTCCACCACAACCCCCTGCACTCCACTTCCGGCATAAACAAAACGAGAGAAACATTTTGTATTGATTTCCCTCCAAAAACAAAAACAGGGAGAACAAGAAATCTACGATTCCGCCCAAGCAACAGGAGAGTCACAGGAGGAGCCAGTGCCACGCCTACGGGCTGCCTTTACCGTCCGATCCACCCGCATTTCCCTTCCATAAGCAGCACGCCTCTATCCACCAGCCATGTCCAATCCCAGACAAACAGAGGGCAGCCAATCCCTCGAGGAGCTGCGCATGGAAGTGGAGCGTCTGACCCGAGAACTTGACCAGGTATCCTCCGCCAGCGCCCAGTCTGCCCAATATGGCTTGTCCTGTTGGAGGAGAAGTCGGCGCTGGAGCTCTACGATAACACACGGCACGAGCTGGACATAACGCAAGAGGCCCTAACAAAGTTCCAGAGCTCACAGAAGGTCACCAACAAGACGGGCATCGAGC